TGCGCCCGCCGCCCGTGCCCGGAGCCCGGCGCGGGACCCGAGAGGCGCGAGGGGAGCGGGAGAGCGGGGTGCGTGTCGCGCAGGGTGGGGTGGGGGCGGTTATGTCAGTTCGGCCCAGAGGGTGTGTCTTTTATTTATTTATTTATTTCACAAAATTTGTCATGAGTCACATTACACAGACCTCCCCGAGGAGAGAAGGAAGCGGGTGCGGGGAGGGCGTCTGAGAGAAGTTGGTCTCAGAATTCCTTTGAGGGTTTGCAAAGCTGCCTGCCGGTCCGTTTTCTAGTTGGGGTCCCCCCCCACCCCATTTTCACTTTCGCCTCGCGGTCTAACGCTCTCGTTATTATGAACATGGATTATTCGTAACTACTTGGAAGAATGTCTTCAGCCCTCTCTGTTCCTCCGAAAGTTCTTGAACTGTTGGTTTCGTGAAGAACGTAAAATAGAATGCTTATTTTCTGAGGTTTTCCTTTTTCTAACCTAAGTAAATGTATAGGAGAGGAATCCAGATAGTTGACATTCATTTAGCTTTTTAAGCGCAACGTGCTATACCAATTTTTGTTACCTTGTTAGAAGATTCGTGGAACTTTATGACAGTTACAGGTTTTTTTTTTTTTTATAGTTTTGGTGGTTGGAAGTGGCAGTTTGATTTGTAGATTTTTAGCTGTGTCCACCTAACAATTTGTAGTAGAAGCAAATAGAGTAGCACAGTACTTTGTGTCAATATAATGACTTGAAAATTTCACTTGTCATTGGTGAGGCAAGACCAAAAATGTGCTTTGTAAGGTTAGGGTGATTGCAGTTAGGAACTGAAGTATTTATAGAAGTGCCCTCCTTGTGATTATCATTGTTAAGAACTAATGCTTTCTGTGTTGTCAAATGCTTTTACTTTTAGAAGAAGATACTGTTTTCAGAATCTATCTAATATTTCACAGTTTCCATAATAGTAACATTGTATCATGAGTTGCACAAGGAATTTATCTTTATAATTTTTTTCAGGCTTTTACTCTAGGGATTCTGCTAAGTAAACTTGTTGAATGCCTGTCGTGTCTACTGTATTACTTGTTTTTTGCAAACTTTATATTTAACTTGTAAAAACATTTTAAAATCTTGTAAAAATGTGAATATCGTTAGCAAATAGGAAAGTGATTGTGTAGGTTATCAGTATTAAAAATAGGAAACTTTTCTTTAAGTTACCAGGAAAAGTCTTGAAATTGAGGAGAACTTTAATTTGCTGAAAGTTTTAAAGGTTTGAAAGGAAGAAGCCAGGAAGTTAAATTGCCATTTTAGAAAAGTCCTATCCTCTCCGTAGAAGGCCGCTTGAAAGGGTGGCTCCTTTTTGTTTTGCATGTTGGGTAATCTGACAAGTATATGGTGTGGTAACTGCTATGTGTTGGCAAATGTTGGTAACTAACCTGTTTTAACCTGTCCGTTGACTATTTCTTCTTCAGGTAGTTGTGTGCTCAATGCTTTTTTACCTCCTTCAACCAGAGTTCAGTGAGGTATTCTGATCTTACTGAAAAAGATGAAATTTGTACATAATCATGATTATTACAATACTTTAGTAGTCGTTGTAACTTTGGGCTGCATGATTGATCCATGCCACCAGTTGCCTTCCTGAGGGGCTTAGATAGTCAGGATCAGACAAGCCCAGAAAATGTGACTGTTTTTGTGGTGGGAGGTGATGCTGCTGACTCAGATGCTGTGATTGAGGAACAAGTGCTGCTGGAAATACCATTGTGTATCTGTATCTGTTGAGATCTTTCTGCACCTTATCTATACTTTGATTGGATTATAAATAATACATGGCATAAACATGTGCCTCTTCTTAAGTAAAGTTTATAGTCACTTGTGAGAATATTTTTTGTACCTGTGTTGAGGATTATTGGTTGAGTTATTGCTTGACTGATTTTTTTATTTTATGAGTTCAATTTTTATTTTCTTGTTTTCTTAGGTTTTTGAAAGTGCAGTCCTGTCTTACTGAGTTTGTTTGCATAGTGCAGTTGAGTCCATGGAGCAACTTATTAGCTCTTTGGGTCCCCTAGACTTTATTAAATTGTATTAGTAATGGCTGAAGTTCTCAAAAGATTCCACCCCACCGAGACTTGAACCCAGGGCCTCTGCACTGACCTACATCCCCAGCCCTTTAAAATTTTTTAAAAACATGATAGGGTCTCCTTTAGGAACTCAATTGCCCAGCTCTGCTTAAACTTGCTATTCTCCTGCCTCAGCCTCCAAGATTGCAGAGTCAGCAGATGCTGCTGGACAGGGTTTTAAAAGTTATGGGGGAAGTAATTCTAAAAATGGAAAGGTTTTCTTTTTTTGAGACTATAGAAATGCCTTTGCTATTTCCATCTTCTGTTTATTTTGACATGATTGAATTTTTCTGGTGGATTATGACCAGAACAGTCACTCCTTAACTTGAACACACTAAGTCGGTTTTCTTTGCTGTACTCTACAGTTCTTACTGCTTTTGCTATGGGAACTATTTTGGGGAGTAGGAAGGAAAGACAGCTTAGTAGAGTAGAAATTGCTTAAGAAGCTGAGCGTGGTGTTGCATGCCTGCAATTCTAGCACTCAGTAAGCTGAGGCAGGAGAATCACTTGTTAGAGATCAGCCTGGACTACAGAGTGAGACTGTCTAAAAAAAAAGTGTTTAAGAAGGGTTTCTCGAGATGTGGACTGCTAGGTTCGGTAAGGACAAAAAAAGTCTTCTGTACAGTTTACCTTTTAATTTAAATTCTCTGGCTGGAATTCCACCAACAAAAACTTCAGTTCGGTTAGGAAGTATATTCTAGTCCTGTGGTGGTGAACTATGGCCCTCATGCCACAGTGGGTTGTTTGTGGTCATTGAAAGTTCTAAATAAGATTGACCATCACTATTTGCATATTACTGTGAGCTGGGTGGCTTAGCTTGCTTTATTCAGTGCTATGACATTTGCTTAGTTATGCACATTTTAATCTTGGAAAGCAGGTAATTTTTGAGCAGGAGCACTTTGGGTTTAACAAAAATTAATCTTTGTGGTATTATACAGTTTATGCCATTTTATAAACTATGTCACTTAATTACTGTAAATCTCTGCTTCTCTTCCATGTGTGGTTTTTTTTTGAGGCATAATGTTGATGTGTTGCCCAGGCTGGCCCAGGCTGGCCCTGGACTCTTGAACTTAAGCAAACCTCGTTCCTCAGCCTCCCCAGTAGCAGCTGGGACTACAGGTGTGTGGGAATGCCACTGCTTTTGTTCTCTCTCTGTCCTTTACTCTTTTTTTTTTTTTTTTTTCTGGTACCGGTTGAGTAATCTATGTTCAGAGATATTAGATATTGAACCTGAAGTTCAATAGCTTATATAGAGAGTGCCTAGAATCAAACCTAGGTTTTCAGGTTCCAAATCCTAAATTCCTTTTACTAAATCCCGAATGGGCCACTTACTACAATATAGAGGTTAAAAAGGATTTATGAAGAGGATAACAGACCTCAGTGACAATAGGGGATTGGTTGTGACACCCTAAAGGTACTAAAATCTCTAAATGCTTAAGTCTCTGATATGAAATGAAATAATATTTGCATATAACTTATTTATGCATCCTCCTGTATACTTTAAATCATCTCTAGATTACTTATAAATACAATGTAAGTACAATGCAAATGCTGTATAAGTATTATACTGTATTATTTGTGGAATAAGAACAAGGAAAAAAGTCCATATATTCAGTATGGATATAATTTTTTTCCTTGAATATTTTGGATCAGTGGTTGGTTGAATCCATAATTGCTGAACCTGCAGACAAGGGGTGCTGACTATAATTGAGTCTTTTTAATGAATACCTACTCAATCAGTCTCCTAGTTGATTTGTATTATATTTAATCCTTACAAACTGTTCATGATAGGCAGTGCTTTCCTGAAGATGAAAAAACTAGGACTTGAAAAGTTAAAAATTTTGTTTGATCATACAGTTAGTAACTGGCTGACAGGATTTCTAACTCTGGCAGACTCCACAGCCTATGCACCTTGTGTATTGCAGTTGCCACAGGAATGAATCTAGAACTCAGTAGACTCTTGTTGGGCAAGTCTGGGAATCTAACAAATCTTTTAGCATTGTTTCTTTTAAAAATGTGTCTTGAGTTTTAAGTTGCAAATATAAGAATAGGTGTGTTTGTAATTTGGAGACTTGCCTGTAAAACCTCCAGAAGATGTTAATTTTGACACTTGAACAGAAATTATGGGCCAGTTTTTCAGAGCTTCATAGATTCTTTTCCTTTCTATGCATCGCCTCACTCCCCTGCCTCCTTTTCAGCCTATGTGATTGAGTGTTCCAGTGGATAAGAAAATTTGGGAAATTAATAGAGGTTAACTAAAAAAAATCTTAAGATATTTTGGTCTCCCTGATTTCCATACAAACCAGATGGGGATAGACAGTTAAAATGATTGAGGAATTAAGACAGACAGGAAAGGTTAGAACTCTTAAGAGTTGTACTTTGAAGTTGAGTAAAGCAGTGGCTAACAAAGTTAGAAATGTAGGTTGGACATAGAAATGAAGTGGGCAGGGGTTTAATCTTGTTGAAGATCTTCAGGTAATTCTAAAGGACTTTGTCAAGGGTGATAGTGGATTGGGTAGAACAGGATGTTCTGACATATCAGTTCTTATAAATGGTCATACCACAGCGTA